GTCAGATTAACGATGTATAAAAAAAAAGAATATTTATTTTAACTAATTATATTTTAACTTTAAAAATATAAGACAATTGTTTAGTAATTATATAAGTTACTGAATAATATATAGAAGATTATATTTTAGGAAAAAACAAGAATTAATATTAAAGGGAATTCAAAACAGAATGTCGCTGCCAATCTTATTAACTCGATCGGTCCGTCGGATGCAGAATCGCGAATAACGACCCCAGCAACCCCCCGAGCGCAGGGGAGGGGGCGAAATGAGATTCTATCACTCTCCTCCATTCCACGCCGTTCGTGCTTTCTCTACGTGACTGTACATAGCAATATATGTAAAGAAATATCAACCTTCACTCGTAAGGAATAAAGTTCAAAATTCTTTGTACCAACAGCGTGGTATCAAGCTTTTTGTTTACGTCTGTAATTTGATGTTTTATGTTTTTTTATGTTCAGTCGACATTCATGTTTGTCGCCAGTTTGTGAATATTTGAAGTAAAATTCTAGAATAGTTTTGTTTCGTCTGTGGAACAATTTAAACTTTAGACTCTTGGACTAACGGATCGGTACGTCATTTGCCGGAGATTTATTTTTAAACATTTATAATACTGTTCCTTTTATTTGTTTTAAATTGCTAAAGGTAGAATAAAGTTAAAGCGGAACACAAACATTGGTTAAAGAAAAAAAAACAGATTCTTGAGAAAAAACGACAACTTTTTGTACTTTTTCATGACTTGGTTTGTTTATTTATCACAAATGTTAGTCTCTTTATCATCAGGAACTTCTTAATAAAATACTTGAGACTTACGTTTTAAGTAGATTAATGCATTTAAAATTTATAGGCTTAAATAAATTTAAAAATCTTAAACCGTTATTGGAGGAAAAAATATTTCCTTGTAACAGATCAACGCTGAAACTAATGAACCGGATTTTGATATTTTTTTTCAAATCAAGAACTACTCGTGCCAGTAATGACAAAAATAATACTTTTTTTTATTATAGTGCAATTTTTAATCTTACTCGGACAACGCTCTTTACCACAGTAAGATTTATAACAGTATTGCAAATAATTACTGAATTTCGGGAAACACATGAACGAACCTTTTAAAAAAAGAAATAGAATAAAAAAATATCATTTTCAACAGAAATGTGTTGGCAGTTAAAAGGTTGAATATAGAAAAACACCGAACTCTTAAAACATAACAAATTTAGGGGATCGAGAAAAAACTAGTCGTATGTAGGGGTGTGCGAATAATTCCAACTTAGGAATACGTTCGAATATTAATATTCGTATCTATTCGATTCGAACGATATTCGCACACCCCTAATCGTATTTTCTCACAACGAAATTTCACTGTCATGTATAATTGTTTGTCTTTTTTTTAAAGAGAATGACAGATAGCAATGATATAGAAATGTTTTTAAAGTTAGAACTCACAGTGATTGAGATTTTGACTATTGATCTTGCGCAATCATTTAACCCTCTCCCTGCTGACATCAGCGGCATTGCGCGTCAGAGCTTGCCCATTCTAACCAAAACATATCATAGCCCCCGTTCGGTTGCTGGAAAAATAGCCCGCAGCATGGATACAGTTATTACCTAAGGGCTTTACCAATATCGGGGTTCAGAGATTGTTGAGAGTTTAAAATCAATAATGTTTTAAAAATGTACGCCGAAAAAACACGTTTTAGGGACTGTAGGATTCATAATAACTAAAATTTCAACTTCCATTAAAATATTTATAAAATGTATTACTTATGAAACAGATTTGTTTCAATTGTTAATGACAATATTCTATTTTTCTATTTTTTTGACAAGATACTAAAAGAACTTTTTTGTATAATATAAAAGAGCATAGAACTAGAAATAATAAATAGCGTAAATACATCACAACCCCAGGCGCGGCGCGGCGCGTGCGTCTGATTGATAAGCGTTATCACGGCACGCACCCGGAGGCCCGGCTGCCTCGCGCAGAAGACGCCCCTACACAGGGTAGCTATTACCACAGTAGTTTTTTTTTAATAAATATTAAAGACATTGGAAAATAATCTTTAATGCTTTTCAACCAAAGGAATGTTTTTTTTTAGATATATGTACATCTAAAAATTTGGTATATACCTAAAAATGTTAAGTCTACTTTATTTATATTTATTATAAATTTTTATTGTATAATTTTTTACGTATGTGCCTAAAAAAATTCCTAACAGAATATCTGTTCTTGACATATTTAATTTTCTTTTCTTTGCAAAGTAGTAACACCGCTTATAACATACTATTAATTTGGCATAAAGATAGATTCTGTGCATGGCTAAAAAAGGTTGGATAAACGAATTAACGGTATCAATAACCGCGTAAGCTTCTTATCCCCTGTACGGGGTTTGCAGTTCCCGGCCTAATCTCCTCGTCCAAGGGCTTAGAGCAGCCAGTGGAAGTGATTTCTTGTTGCTGTATCATATATTCCAATCGTTCGGAGGGAGTTTTATCGGACGTAAATATCACGATCCCCTCCTTCGACCTGCCAAAAGACGCGCGAAATACTAGTAAGAATAATTATTTCTTTTTCAAATTTTGAATTTGGAATAGTTTTTTTTTCTGCCAGACGTTTTCGTGTTTTTTTGCAGTTTGGTCTCTAATAATAAATACCCAAAATACAAAATAGTTTTTTTATAAAAAAAATGTAAAAATCAAAATGAATATATTACTTTTTGGTGCAAATATACGAACATACTACTGTTCTAATTAGAAATGATTTGAATAAAATGTTATAAAATAATAAAGAAAATGCTAATGGTATACGTAAATTTCTAGCTGGCCAGTATTGAAATGTTATGAAACCACATTTCTACGTGTTAGATTCGAACGCATGCAAATGAGGTGTTGTCGGATATTCCGACTATAAATAAATCAAAATTAATCTTCATCATAAATGTTAATGTGGACCACTGGCTGTGTTAAAGTGAACACGAAAACATGGGAAAGGAACAAAACATTTTGTTATATCGCATTTTTTTTATTTTTAGTGCTACAAAAAACTATTCGTTAAATTATGATGTAAAGAAGCGATAAATAGTCATAAAATATTAAAGTTGGGAATAAAATAATTTTATGCTGATTTATTCCGCGAATTTAACAGTGCCAAATGTACTAACTTAGTTAAACTTAAGTTACATAAAAGAAAAACAAGTAAAGATATTGGTATATTCAAGCATTCACATAATTCAGTTTTTACTGTACAGACGGACTGTTTAGTTTGCTCGTAAGTGTGTAGGCGAAATTTAAAAATACAGTCAAACTGTACAGTTCTCAGTCTTGTCAATACACTTTCAGTTTAAACTGAACTGTCTTACCGTCCAGTTAAAACTGTACAGTCACAAATGAAGACGTTTAGCAGGATTTATGTATTTAGTACCGAAGATATGTACATATGTAGAAAAGTAGAATATGCTTACTTATAATTGAACCGACTTCAAAAAAGAGGTTGTATGTATTTTTGTTCTAGAATATTATATTTTAACTAGAAAATAAAGACGTTTTAAAAATATGAAGCCAACGTCTTTTATAACGATTGCGTAAAATATGTAGAGAAAATAAATCAAAAGGCGTTAGGGTTGTGTTGTTTGCGTTGCCGTGGCCACAACATGTGCGCGCCCGCGGCGCCGCGTGTTTACGTTGGGTAATTGTGTTTAGACATTGTTAGAGTGGAATAATACGGCAAATATTGCCCGCGGAATAACTACGATGATGTAATGGACCGGGGATAGAAATGTACTTTAATTATACTCATTTTATATAAGTTTACTAACTGCCAATTGTTTGAAAATATGTTGCCGAAAAAGAGAAGTAAAATAAATCATAAAGCTACTACATTTGTCCACAAAAAGGATATCCGCATTATAAGTAAAAAAAATTGTCGTACTTATAAAATATATTCAAATTTCCACAAGTTCACGACTCTTGTCTGAACTGCCAACAGTTTTTTGTGGCTCACGCCAAGGCATTGCCTTTGACAATGAGGCACACGTAAAAAAAGATGTTGTCTACTCCACTACCGCGTGGAGACGTGGCTGATGTGTAATTCAGTTGGCGTTTTTTTAACATCATTCGTTTTGTTTCTTTTTTTCAACGTTCGATTCGGTTACGGTTCGTATTGATCGAAAAATCCGATTTCAAAATGGGCGCTCCGAGAATTTTATTGTTGCCAGCGATACGTTCTTAAACAATAAAAAACTCTTTTTTAATCTGTGAATGCAATTCTCACATGTCACGTTCGAATATCGAAGGGGACTCCGGTCATGTTTTAGAAAAGTAATTATACGAAAACGATTGGCTCCGAATCGCGGCGAGGACAATAAAAGACCTAATTTATTTTTTTCATGCGGCAACACCGCCTTGTGTTGCGAACGTGATAGCGTATGTTGTTTGATTGGTGTTGCGTAAATATCAACTCCAATAAGACCAGTGCAATTTCAAAGCAATCTGACAGTTGACAGATCCTATTTTACGACACTCGACCACAATGTCGTCACACAACGAAATCTTAATAAAGAATAAATACAACTAAAATAACACAATCACTCATTCTGTCATATAATAATGTACCTACTAAATAAAATACATATTATAAACATATCAGCGTTCTCAAGTAGAAATGACGATTACTAATCGATAAAAAGCTCAGGATCAAATAAAAAGTACTGTAAAACACAGTGTTACATGGAATTATGCACAGATAATATTAATAGGTTTGAGAAGTAACATGTATATTAAGCCGTGAATAATCTCATTACATTACTACTTAACAAGTAGCAGTTAACTTAACAGTAATTAGATTCGTTTATCTTTTTTTATTGTTATAAAGCAGATAATCTTGAAGTAACTAACGCCATCTATACTTATTTAACATAAAACGTCTTAGACAACAACGCCATCTAGTATATTTTGTAAGTTATTAATCTTTGAAAAATATTTCATGAATCGAACTCTAAAGAAATACTCACAATGCGTTGGCGCCTTCCCAGCTAAGTAATCCTCTTTGCAGATAAACTTGTTATCATCCAGCACGTACAACTCCTCCCCAGTAGAGAGCTGTTTGCGGCAGACCAGGCACGTGAAGCAGTTAAGATGGAACACCTTTTCTCTTGCCTTCCGCACCAGGTCAGACGGCGAGATGCCATGCCCACAACCGCTGCATTTTGTACCGTATCTCCTGCGGAAAAAGGCACAAATTAATATGTTTTCTTGATTAAATACAAAAGCATATTACCGAGATATTCATACAGAATTATGATATCTTTTTAATTTAAATTTCAATTCAAGCATAAACTTTTTGTAAAATGCACGTAATTTTTTAAAGCTGTAAAAAGTGACGTTTATAAAAAATATGCTATTAAAATAAAAAAATAAAATTCTTTTTCAAAATGGAAGCTGCAATTCTACATTCGAAAGTAGCAGATTCGTTTTTAAATGTAACCAAGAAACATAATAAAAGAAATCAGATCCGGTCCCTGCCGTGTTGCCATAAAAATTAATCCCATCTAATTATCGACGCAGGTTACCATATTTCATCTTTATTTTTCACTTTCACCATATCAATGAGTACTTTTAATAAGCATATTGTCACACAGAACTATACCTTACTAGTTTAACTTTAAGGTTAACAATTTATTGTACTTTACGTTGTTTTCTTGGAACACACGTTTTTTATTAAAATTACATATTTTTTTATATCTAGGGGATGAAAGTTTGTATAGGGGTACTAGGTGTCCGTGGCCGCGCGGGATTTAAACTTAATTAGTAGCCTTTAAGTTCTTCCAGACCATGTTCTACATCTATGCCCATTCATCCATACATTCGCATTTATAATATTAGTAAGATGTAAGGTTTTTGTGAATGTATGGTCGAATTGTCTTTTAAGTTAAATAATTAGCCTAAATAATTAAAATTGCAACCAGAATACAGTATATCAAACGAACTAAGTCACGGTTACAGATATTTTGTTATAAAATAGTCAAACTTATACAACATTAAAATATCACATAGCACGAACTGACATTTGACATATATAAACGTAATAAATTAAAAATTAAATTTCACTTTGACTAATGAAACCAAATTTTGATATCCAGCAACACATTGGTCACATTCACCTGTGCCATAGAACGCGGAAATCGGACATAAATTGTTTTAAATAGCAAAATAATCCTAATAATTTATATATATTATATGGTGATACATCGAATAGAACATCGTAAACATAAAACGTAACACGGATGCGAGGATAGTAAAAAAATAATCTAAAATCACGTTAGAATCGATCTTTTCTTTCATCCGCTTGATTGAGTCCGACTTAACAACCAGATTTAACGAAAAAAAAAATGAGTCGCCGCTGACAAATTTTATGTCCGTCCAAGTTAAAATATTAATCGTAAATATAATTTAGATATCACTTCTAAAAAACATGTTATCGACAAGCCATCAGAATATCGATGTATTGAAATATACGCAGCTTCGAAGTCATTAGGGTCAATAATGGATGTACAATGAAACGATGAGTTATGGCGTTAAATGTATGCAAACGTTCGGAAATTAAAGCGATCTCAAAAAAATATCGACGCCTCTTATACAACTAGGGATGTTATCAAAATATCGATAACAACGATACTCGATATTTTAGATGACTACAAGAACTATAAATATTGTCAAATTATTAATAGAACTATTTAGTTCTTAATAGATATTTACTACTAGAAAAGTACTAAAACTGTTGTTTATAAAAATTCATAGTTTACATTTGTAAGATGAGTATACTAATTTCCAACTCGTACAGTGTCTACTAAATATTTCTCCATAAACATAAAAGAAAAAGAATATTAAGAAAGTATATATAAGCAGAAAAGTCGTGTCTTTTAAGATCAAAGAAATGACTCACAAAGCGCAAGAGAGACGCGAAATTCATATTTAATGGAGTTCTTAAATAAATTAGAACATCAAAATTATTATTTTAATCGTAAAGAAGCACCTCCCTAGTGATTACCAATCGGTAGTGTAGTAGCGTTAACGAATACAACACTAATAACTGTTCGTAGATTATCGAATACGGAACGACGCGGACGCTCAACGGTATCCGTGAGTGATGTACTTAATCCTTCATTTTTAGGTCAATACCAAAGTCGATATTCTCTTTGATACCTATTAAAATCGATTGTTATGTCAACCGATCATGCTATTTTATCTGTTGACACGCAATTTAAACATTTTTGGCATTCATTTCATGTCAATGTTAGTGGGCAATTAACGAATTACGAAATCGATTAAATTTTATTTGGATTTATGGGTTAGTCATATAACTTTAAATACTGGCCTACCGATATTGAGACACTAACTGATAATGACAAACATACTCAGAGTTTTAAGTGGTCGCTAAGCGTTACTCTCAGTATAGATTTACTAATGATAGTCCCTTATCCTTATAGCTGGCAATAAAACACTGTAGAAGTAGAAAATACGTATAAAAGTAGAGTGGACGTGTGTTCAAAAAGTATTTGATGTTTGAACTCCATACTATGCGAACTTATCAATCTATCTTGTCATTCACAAAATAACTATTTAAAGCTCCGCGATGGAGTACTGGCCACAAACACAAACAGATGATAAACTCTATTTTATTATTTAAAAATAAATGTTTTTTCTTTTTTAAGAAAACCACATAACACACGAACGACGAATGGTTATGCCAGGATGTTTCTTAAATCTTTTTGGTTTAAAGTAAAAGCAAAGACACAAAAATATTGCGGTTAACCAATACAAGGAGAGTATGCCGTGGACAGACATAGTATTTATATAAATATAGCCGTCCGATTTGCATAAGCGACAGAGGCCGTATGAATTATACATGAGATTGATTTTGCTTGCTTGTGATGTGTCGCGTCGTGTTTTTTCATGAATTAAAAGTCATAACTAACAAAGAAAAATTACTTAATTTTGTCGCACGTCGATTCATTAAATTATTACAAAATAAACGCATAGATTTCTAATACTAACTGTTACACTAATGGACTGTTGAACACTCCTAAGGTAAGCGAACAATAAAAGATAACTTATTTTTTTAATAACAAAAATAAAATTGTTATAGTCAATACAGTACAGTGTTGCCAAAATAAGGTATGTCTTTTTCATATTTCAAAATGCAAACAACAATTATAGGAACACGAACGAATATTTTTTCTTTCAGATTTGGCTTGCCCCATATCTGACTATAGTATCGTGCCAAAGAACTAAATGTGGACAGACGACGTAACTTGATAACATCTTCATAAAAAGCTATTAATAGCTTTCCAGATACGCTATATCTAAAAGAACAAATTTAAATGAATATTAACCGTGGGTTTCTGAGACCGAAATCCTCGTTTAAAACACATTGTTAACTCTGTTTTATCAAAGATAATGACAGGTATGATAATACGTTTTATGCAGAGATTTTATTTTCAGAAACCAACGGTAAATTTGCTAGTCAAAAACTCTGTTTGATGGACTTGAGTTAAATTGAAAATATTTATTGAATTTTTTTTATTGCACTTGTCCATTTATTGATGGCCAACAAATTATAAATAAGTTTTTAAGGAAATATCGTGAACTTTTTCTTTATAAAATTATAAAGTAAAATAAAAACGGTATACAAAATGAAATCATTAAGACAACGGAAGTTGTAAGTGAACTGCTTTCCGCTGTTGCCTGACCTGCGACAAAATTACTCTTTTTATGTTATTTTGAAGCGCCATACGATTTAACAATCTAATAGTAGGGGTTTTTACTTAAATTGATGCTTAGACAAATGACAGTCAAATGCAGGAATCGTCAACGGGTGGTCTAAACTTTTAAATCTTACTAATATCTTACTTCTTACTACCGTTGTAAATGAGAATATTTGGATGGATGTATGGATGTTTGTTTGAAGATATCTCCAAAACGGCTGAGCATATCTCGATGAAATTTGGCATGGCCGTAGAACATATTCTGGAAGAACACATAGACTACTTAGTTTTTTTTTATTCCGCGCGGACGGTGTCGCGGGCGACAGCTAGTATAAAATAGAACTTTTACTTTTAATAATATTTTCCTACTATCATAGACAATAGAGTGATCTCTACTCTATGATTTTACTTGAATGGTTATTTAACAACCTACTATACGAATTAATAGGTTTCGCATGATTTAGGAACATTTCTCAAATATTATGAAGACTTCCTTATTGGGTTTTATTTATAAGTTTTGAATATGATAACCAGTGAATCAAGACAAATTATTAAATTGTTTAACTAAAAAATTATAAGATTTTTCGAGTAGATCCTTTATAACAAGCTTTAAACAACGTTTAAACACTTAAACTACGCACACATTTTACACTTCAACTACGTATATAGTTAAGGAATAAATAATTATGTAATTAACAACAGGTGTCATAGTGCCGACCACTTACAGGTCAACTTTGTACCAAAGTTAAAAGCGATCTTTGTTCATTCTATTTGTAAACGGACAGGGAAATAATTGATTATAATAAAAACTGTTGGCTTCAAAACCTTTTTAATAGAAAAAAAAAATTCGACAACCAACAAATTTTTAACACGTCAATAGCTGAAAAATTTGTTTACATTAAATTACAGTAAGAAAGAACTGGCCACTAAAATTTTATGATTACGTTAACATTTGAAACATAAGAAATTATTTCATCAATCTATGAAAGGAGACCTATTTTTTAATAGTAAAAAGTCGTTAATGAGTAGGATGTTATCCAATTTCACTTAAACAGCTAAGAAACCGTTAAACATAGCATGTTGCAAGTTAAAACTTAGCAAATGCTTCATTCATACATACTATATACTCAAGAAGTTTGTTGGCATCATCCCGTGAACTGACCTGAAGAAATCATTCCTGCAGAAGAGCTTGTTGTCCCTAGAGTAGCACTTGTCGGCGAGTGGAGCGCGGCAGTCGGCGCAGCGTACGCACGCTGCGTGCCACGCGCGCTCCAGCACGTGCAGCAAGAACTTGTCCAGGATCGGCTTCTCGCAGCCGGCGCAAGCCATCGCGCCGCCTGCCTCGCCGCGTCCTACATAACAAACAAGAATATTAATATCTATAGTCCAGACTATGATATTACATTCAAGATCCATTAGTCCATACATCTACTCAAGATCCAGACTAGACCTTATAAAGACCTTCATAGCATCATTTCTATAGTAAAATCTTCAAGAGACCAGACTTGATAAGAATAGGATAAAGTAGTGAAGTACTCATAGCTACCATGCATAAGCTTAAGATTAACAGATTTACTTAACGGAATTACTGGATAATATGCATATTGTTGGGAAGAAAATCCGAAAATGTGGCAGTGTATTAACCGAACACTAGTCTTACTAAAATGTCGACGTTTATGTCCCCTCACTATTCATTCTGACACTTGACTTTGTAACGAAAGCACGTCATTCGCGCCAAAGGATTCTAACTAATAATGTCTGAAAATATATATGTTTTATACCTACTTAGTATTTGAATTTATCTATGTATATGTCTGATTAACATTTTATATCTGTATCTTATTTCTTACTAATATTATAAATGTGAATGTTTGGATGGATGAATGTTTGTTTTAAGGTAGCTCAGGAACGGCTGTATGGATCTCGTTGAAATTTGGCATAGATGCAGAACATAGTCTGAAAGAACATATAGCCAACTAATTAAGTCTTTTTTTTAATTCTGCGCAGACGTATTCGCGGGCGACAACTAGTCTATTAATTTATGTTGTAATTAGTATAATCTGTATCAAATGTTTTAATGTATCGTAAATTTTCTTCTTTACATACATTAGATATGCATTTAAACACGTAATATCGGCAAGACCGGAAACTAAACGATGCAGGTTTGTACAAAATATTAACCGGATATGACGTGTGAAACGGGTACCATTTTTTTTAAGTATAAGGAATTTTAACTTTATTTTATTAATCACATGCTCCTTAATTAAAACTTAGGTGAATAATATATTAAACTAGCTGTCGCTTGCGACTCCGTCCGCACGGGATTAAAAATAGATGTTGACCGATTCTCAGACCTACTCAATATGCTCACAAAATTTCATGAGAATCGGTTAAGCAGATTCGGAGGAGTATGGGAACTAAAATTGTGACACGAGAATTTTGTATATAAGATATTAATGTTGCTGTCCGCGACTCCGACCTCGCGGAAATAAAAAAAAGCTTTATAACCCATAGTTTTTCCAGGCTAGTTTCTACATCTATGCTAAATTTCAGCCGTTTTGGCGATACATTTTAACGAACATCCCCATCTAAACATACGCATTTATAATATTATTAATATGTAACTTAGGGACAATACCTATGACATATCATGATAAACGATATAATCGCCAAAGTAACAAAAAAACTCTGCAAATAAAACGCTGGGAGAAATTAAAAGATAATCAACCTCCTTGTCTGTAATTTAAAACTATTTAACCTTTACGATTAAGTTTTAAGAAACTACGTAAATTACTCGTAGCAATGTTTTAAGGTATAATAAAACTTAAGTCCAGTCTTATATCCTGCGTCCCTCTCATCCCAGTACGATAGACAGAGATGGAGTTCTTGGAATAGAAGTGCCTAGCCCAGTAAATCTAGGCTATGATGGAACGGTTGCTTGTTACGTTTGAATTTACTATATTTATACAATACTTCATAAAGTTGGTAGCCTGCTAGAAACATAATGGGATTGCGTTATTACGATCGATAAAGGTTATGTTGAATAAAATTTTATTAGCATATGTTATTGCTGGGTACTGTACATATTGCAGGAAATATGTGTGTTTTAGAACGAACAATTTACAAACCCAATGTAAGAATTGTTTCATTTAAGAATGCTACAATGAAAGGCACAAATTTACTATGAAGAAAACTATAGGATTTTTATCCCTATAATCTTACTAATATTACAAATGCAAATGTTACGGAGGTATGGACGGATATTTGCTCGAAGGTATCTCCAGAACGGCTGTATAGATCTTGCTGAAATTTGGCATAGATGTAGAACATAGTCTGGAGGAACACATTGGTTACTTATTAAGTTTTATTTTTAAATTTCGCGGTGGGGGTCGCGAGCTACAGATAGTTAATTACAAAATTAACATGGACTTTAGGCTTGAAGCCGGTAGCCCAATATTTTAAAGCCTTTTGCATTTTTTGAAATGAGTTCCTAAATATTATACTATATACCTGATCTGATTTTAGATATCGTAATAAAGCAAGTTATTGTTATGATATATTCATTTATGCAAACATATGTTCCTCTTAAAAAACTTTAATTGCCATATAATCTCATGCGATTGTGTCCTAACACTTCGTTAGCGAGGAACTCGACCGTGTCATATTAACAGGATTTTTTCTTGAAAGCCGTTTTCGAACGTAACATTTGACATTTATTGGTCAAATTTATGAAGGTCGCCAGTTTTTTAATATTCCATATTCGAATGGGGACGTGCGATTGGTCTCGCGTCATTTCAGACGCGTTCAGAAACATGGTGCCGCGATTCTACGGCTCATTTTAAAATAACTACCGTAAGTGAGATAAACTGAAAAGAAACAATTAATAAAATTGAATAACCTATAGACTGTATGTATTACTAAAAAATACATATTTCGAGAACATTCAATTTGTAAGTTGTTGTGTGTAAATCTATCCAAAAGTCCGCGATTGTTCTTATAATCTCCGAAACGGCTGGACGGATTTTGACAGGACTTTTATTGGAAGTTAGCTAATGTTTTTTAAAATGTAACATTGGCTATTTTTAATTTAATTCAAGCTTCCGAAAAAAAATTAAAAACAAATTTGAATATAGAATATAGATTCCATCAGTTCAAATCCGTTAGCAATAAACCTATTAAATTAATTATAACAATATCGCCATAACAAAATGTAAGGTGCGACTATCCGAACGAGTTAAACATTTACAGATTATAAAAACAACAAAGTTGTCTATGGATGTCAATAAAAACATGTTAATAACTTTCCCATACGCATATTTAAATGACAAGAAGTTATTAAATTACATTTTAACGTGGTTGAGTAATGTTTGTCTTCCAATTAACCGGGAAACCGCTGAACCAATTTCCATGTGAAGTTGAGGATCCGGGCTTATTAGCTGGCAACATTGAGACATAGAGCAGGCAACATTTCAACAGACAGATGCAGTACAACAATGTAAATTTTCACATTATTTCTTCAACTACTTTTGTCTTTACCACTATTTTTAAAATGACGACTTATGTTTGTTAGAGAAGCAATTATATAATTATGAAGTGTCAATTATTAAAAGGATAAGGGTACGGATATCACGTTATAGATGCGTTGTATTTAACTGACGGAGAAAAGAATGCACAAAAGGCTGATTTAATTCTCTTTATTCTCTCTGTCTACCTCTTTACTCGATGACTCCGCAACGGTACAACACATCTTATTGAAATTTGGCACAGATATAGAACATAGTCTCGATTAACATATGAGATACTTTTCATCCTTTTTAGGGTTCCGTACCTCATAGGAAAAAAACGGAACCCTTATAGGATCACTTTGTTGTCCGTCCGTCTGTCTGTCAAGACACTTTTTCTCCAAAACGCGTGAAGGTATCAAGCTGGAATGTATATCAAATGTTCAGGACTGCGGTCGCTAGGTGCTGTGAAAAAATAAAACTTCTAAGCCAACCCAATCAAAAGATACATATTTCGCAAATTTTTTTTAATGGTGCGCAGACGAAGTTGGAGGATATATAGGTATTATTTATTAAAAAAATATAATTTTAGTCAAGTAACGGAAAAGATAACAATTATTTTAAGTCAATAATGTTGGTTGAAAAGATAATTACTACATGGGACAGTTTTTTTTTAATTTAAACAAAAAATAACAACAAAAAACTTGGCACGCGTATCCGTAAAGAGGAGTTAAGTGCTTTAAGTAGGTATTTCATTGTTTAGTTGAATAGCGTTTAACAAAAACTTGAAAAAGTTTTGCTTTTTAAATTAAAAAAAGATAAGAGGTGTTCTTAAAGAGGTTTTATGTTGTGGCATATTTAATCCGCTTGGCTTTACCTCGTTATGTTTTTAAAAATACAGTTTTAACTTTTTAATTTGTAACAAAGGTTACTGGCCATCTTATATGAAAGTTGGAGAAGAATGCTTTTGAAGTCTTTTTTTTTGTGAAAACAAAGGTGTTACAATGCTAGCCTTTTAATCTTTAATCGCATTTAATTCATATTTCGTTAAGTTATGGTTATTTTACATAATCTATGCTATACGTTTACATAACTGTTTTTTTTTACATGCCTTACCATAAAAAACTAGGACAGCGTTTCAATTACATTTTAAAGGTAGGTTATTTGTGACCAAATATAGTTGATTTTAGTGTGAATTGTCGATTATTAACTCCTCGTTGGTGAGATCTAGAGATGTAGCCAGTTGCGCTAATATATTTTTTTAATTGATACCTATAGTGTGTAACAAGTTGACATACCCGGCGTTGCTTGGCTGACCTTCGTATTAAAAATTAATATTTAACCTTTATCTATGTTATTTCTAAATAATGACAATAATCGGTAATATACTTCAAATAGGTTGTCTATTGTTTTATTATCGTCCATTTTTAATCTGTTTTTTTTGTTTATGATATATCAATTTTAATGACCCCATCCTACCTGTCTATCATAATTTTAACACGTTAACAATGATACGATTTGTTTATGGTTATCAGGACAAATGAATAAAGCCTTTTTATCCTATAACGTTTAGTTTTATCGTATACAGTACTATGAAATTATTGATTAGACTTGAGATTTACAGATTTCGAATTTGGTACAGTACTTTGTTAAATTTCTATTTGATACTAGTGAAAATAATGATTTTATATCATTAGAATTTTAATACAAATATTTGTAACGCGAAATGTTAGAAAATTATAAAACAAATAACATATGTATTATATTTTTAATCTATACTTTAAAATATTTTTTTAAAACAAATTAGAAATCACGCGAGTCCTTCTAAAGGACAGATTTTGTTAGTTAATATGCCTTTAAGTAACATAACTGTATGTTGTATTTTTCTTTAGATGAAAAGCGATAGATATTACAGAGGTTTAGGCCTAGCGCGTACCTTTAGGCCTAACCGATGTTAAGTCTAATTGATTAACTAAATATAGTTAACATTATAATGCACTAATTCTCTTAATTTCAATAATGTATTATATGCAAGACAATTTTTTTTTTTAATATCGTCTTTTCTCAGTTAATTAACGGTTTAGTTGTGATAAGCTTTGCAATATCTTCATGCAAATAATAAGGTTGCTATTTTCACTAATTGTAACAAAATTAAACTTAGTCGACTAAACCAAAATGAATTGTAACAAAAAATAATTTCGTTTTAGGCACACCGGAGTGTTAAGGAAAGAAAACTTAGCAAACTTAATCATAACTTAACTTAGATAAGTTAAAAAAATAAAATAAAAAGCAAGCAAACAACCTCCATACGTCGGCATCCCAATTCACATTCACAGTTCCGTCCACAAAGTCGAAGATATAATTTTTTTTTTGTAATTTTTAGTTTATTGCAAACCGACACTGACTTTTACCAATGTGGTGCTGGTGGAAGGGGGCATGGGCCCCCCGTCCTGTAGCAAGGAAACCCGCCACTTCGGCACCTCTACACGGCACTTCACAGACACAACGCGACTACCGCGCGGATCTTACGTTTGACACGCGCGCCGTCCGAACGCGTACTGAACAAAAACCTATAGCTTTTTTCATGTCACACAAACAGTGATGAGACAGAGATATATGAAGCTTTTAAGTTGGAGAGAGAGGGAGTTGGTAGCGAGGTGTAGGAGGCGTGGTCGAAGCGAAGGGCCACTAGCGAGCTAGGGGGTGTTGCCCGCAATGTACTCTAGTAGGTTGTTTTTTGTGCGTTGTGCGCGGTAGTGGGATTTCATTTTGCGGGACACGTGCGGCGTCCGCAGTAAATTTGAATCGGCCCGCCGCCGCCCGCCGCTTGCCGCCCGCCGCTTGCCGCCCGCCGCCCGCCGCCCGCCGCCGGGTCGGGTAGCCCGATATAATTACACAGGCATTATTTCGGCTGCGTCTAGTCCCGGCTGTGTTTTGACTGGGGGCGTGTTGGGCCAGCGCTCGCCGGCTCAACGCGTTTTTATTTAACTCCTTTATTTTGCGAGACACGACTCTCCTTTCGATATCTACATTGGTTTTAGGAATCTTCGATCCTTCAGCTTCATAAATCATCAAGGGTTATATTTAAAACATTTATTAAAAAATATAAAACAATTGACTGTTGTTATAGAATAAGAAAAACAAGGTTTTAAACAAATAATAACTAAATGATAGGTTTTCGATTATAAATGTTAACAATTACTACTGACCTCATTCTATGATACAAGTAGGTTATATAATTAGCAATATTCATTTGTTCTTCTTACAAATAAAAAAGCTTTGTAACAATCGTCAAATTTATAATATGGGAGTCGCCAGGAAGCCCACCCATCCATCCACATCACATCCGTCTAAACATTCGCATTTATAATATTAGTAAGTTAAATAAAAAGTAGCTCTTCAAGGCATAAATTTGAAAAATAATAAAAAAAAATTAAGAGTGGTAGAACCCGCTTTAACATCTTCGCACTAATTGGCCAGGTACGCCCGGTGAAATACCACCACCACACAGAAAACAGGCGTGAAGTGGAAGAAATTCCGCGTTTCATCTGATGAGTGTGCGTCCCGGAGGCCTAATTTAGTCCTCTTTCCCTTCCCACCCTTTTCTTATAAGGAAAGGATGGGAAGTGGAAGTGGACTTTCCGGATGAGGGGATGCATGGAAAGGGAAAATATTTTCTTTCTGTGCATCCTCTCCTCCGTCGATTAAAGGTAGGAGGCAACGCATATGCAATTGCGTATGTCTATGGGCAACGGTCACTTCGCTAGTTTAGCGATTTCAGGTGGCCGCTCGCTCGTTTGCCGCCTTCAGATATAAAAAAAAAATAATAGTATCCTATGTCTGTCTCCTGGCTCTGAGCTACCTTCTCACCAATTTTCAGCCATATCGGTAAAGCCGTTCTTGAGTTATAATGTTTCTTTTTTCCAGAGAATACAGCGATCAATCACAGTTGTGCGGTTTACGTAAGAAAACGTGCTAATTGTAATAAGCAATTACTTGTAAAGTGTAGGAATTGTGTGTAAAACGATTCAGCACATATTGTAGATTAGAACTAACACCTGCTCGTGCGAAGGATTTTTAAATCGTTTACCTCAGTAAACCTTTGATAATTATAGTTAAAAAAACATAAAGACGCATTTTAAAATCCTCATTTTTGAAGTCGGTTTAAAAATTAACCCTGAGTACCTTCGTTGGAACGATTGAAAAATGACTATATAATGTTGTTGAGCTATTTTTCGTTACTTCAAACTTAGATTTTAATAATTTTATCTAAGGGATGCTTTAAGCGATCTAATGAAGACGATTTTCACCATCATCTGGAACGCTACATCAGCAAATGAGCCTGGACCTGGTCAAGCAAATTTCTCCTCGCAGTACTACTTTGACAATGATAGCAATCTAAAAACTTATTTTTTATCTCTTAAATTAGCGATCAATCCATTTTCGAGTTGACACTACAGAATTATTAAGATAAACTTGAGATCGATCTTAAAGATAAATAATTGTGTTTAGCTAATTAAAAAAAATTATAAAACGTCATATCCAAATTTTATCTTATTCTACATTTTATTTACATTAGAATTTCGTTCTTTGGAGTTCAAAAATTAAAATTCCGGGACAGCGCCATCTATATCAACGTCAATTAGTTATTACCTTCCAACTTCTTCGTTGCTCATTAGTACCAATAAATAAATATAGATGGCAGTCATCACCGGAGTCATGAGAAATATTCTACCGTCCAGTATATTCAAATATTTATTTATTTAAAATTTAAAATAAATTACACATTTTTACTAATTACAGGAAGGTAATAAAAAGAACAAATGAAAAAACAACCTTTATTTAACACACTTAAATCCGAAAATATACAAAAATATTGATTTTGATACTAATATAAGTTTATGCTTAATATTTTGTTAAAATCAAATTCAAATTTACGCAAAAATAAAATTAGCTTCTATTTCTTAAAAAAAACTAATTACAGGCAAGTCTTAAATTCTTGAACACCTTAAATCGATTTAAACATATAAGCTCATGTTTATATTGAAAAAAAAATACATATTTCAGTTCCTTCCGTATTTTCCTATATCACTACGGTAAAAAAAATATTTTTCATTGTTTACAAGCTATGCTGTTTTAAATTCATTATAAATATATATATTTTTAAACTAATTACATTGTATAAAATTTTTGCTATCTAAAATATTTAATAAATACATATATAATTTTGTAGTCTTTATAATTTTTATATGTTGCCATGCTTTTTACATAGTCTATCTATATACTTAAATTTATATAATTTCATAAAACGTGTTATCAAACAGTACACTGTGCAAAACAATTCATATCTTCTTACTAATATTATAAAATGCGAATGTTTAGATGGATCGTTTCAAATTATCTCCAAGAACGGCTGAACGGATCTCGATGACATTTGGCACGTGTAGGAAATAGTCTGGAAGAACAAATAGCCTACTAACAATGGTTTTTTTTAATCCGTGCGGAGGGAGTCGCGGGCTACCGCTAGTTTATATATAAATAGCACAGATGGACTTGATCACAATAAAAGTCTGATTTGTTCTTTATAGTAGTTATAGATATAACATGGAATGTTCGTATAATGGAACGTAGAAAGAGCGAGATAGAATGATAGTTTTATATTAAGATGACAGAGAGAGAAAGAGAATACTTAAGATATAGTTCATAATTGTAGATAGATTTATCAGAAACATTCTATTTGGTGATTTTAAAACCGGATTCCACGTGAATACTGAAATTGTTAGGGAAACTATTTATGTCAAACCTTTTTTTTTAACATTCCTATCATTATTTTATTAACCTAAAGTTAAAAAAGTTGAAAAAGAGTGAGATTCATTTGTTGTTAGTTTTAATAGAGAAAACTATGACGTCATTGAAGTATGTTTTACATTTTGTCAATTTTAACACAAACAGTCGATAAATTCAAGCAAAAATCTACATATTAACTAAATATTTTTGTAGTGAGAAAACATTTTTAAAAACTTTGAGAATCAACTAATTTCTATATTTCCAGTCAAACACATATACAAAAACATTGTCACTGCTTTCTTCAAAATAATAAAAGGGGTAATATAGGAATTTCGCCAGTGGAAACAAGGTTTAAGACCATGCCTGTACATTCCCCTCTCTATGCATCCGTGCGATCTCTGTACGTAACTTCTTCTCATTGTCTATGGCCGCTCTGACGTCAGCCTCCCTCTCCGCCACTTCTTCCAACTTCTCTTTCTCTACTCGGAGACCGTTTAATTGTGACTGCAGCGCCGCTATCGTTGAGTATTCTGTATTCTTCAACTGAAAACAAGAAAGAATATTATAATTAGAAAACTGAAAATATATTAGTAGTCGCCCGCGACTCCGTCCGTATTAATTAAAAAAACTTAATAAGTAGTCTATGTGTTCTTCCAGACTGTGTTCTACGTATAGGTCAAATTTTAAGCGAGATCCATGCACATGTTCTGGAGGTACTTTTTAATAAACATCCATCCATCCATACATCTACTTTCGCATTTATAATATTAGTAAGATATTTGTTCACGGCTATCCAAACATTCCAACTAACGATTTCGCTCAAACAATGGTGATACTGCACTATTGTATTGATCTATTATGTTATTCTACCCTCGTGTGAAAGCATTCCCATTTCCCTGTCTTGTATATCTTTTTCCTTTACCTGCGTCTCCCGCTCCTTGGCGCGTACTTGCTGGTGGAACTCCTCCATGTCCTGGAGTATCTTCTCTCTCTCCAGCACGTTGGCGCGCTGCTGCTGCCGGCTGGCTTCTATCTTCTCTTCTACTTGTCTTCTTAGTGACGTCACCACGTCCCGCATTAGTATGGAACGTGCTTCGCGCTCTTTTGCCCACAGCTAAAATAGATAAGAACAATGGTACTTTACTAATTATTAACTTAACTTAACTTATTGAGAAATTAGCTACGTCCCAAAAAAAAGGTACAACAGACAAGACAAGACAAGTACGGCCCGACAAGGATCTTATGGCACTTTTTTATGACACACAGGACTTAATTTGACTAGACAGCTATATACTAACGAGGAGCTATTATAATTTAGTTACACACTAGCTGACGCTCGTGACACCGTCCGTGCAATTAAAAAAAAAAACAAAATTAGGAATTTGGATAGTATAATTGAATTGAGATAAATAAGATAGAGATATATACCTTGTCTTGTTTGTCATTGATCTGCCTCGCCTCGCCGTCGTACATCACATCAATGTTCTTCTGTCTGTGTCGCTCCCTCTCCCTGCACTCCTCCACCTCGCGCAGCGCCGCCTCCAACACTCTCTTGTAACTACCACATCTCTCTTGTTCATGCTCTAAATCCTAGAGTTACATACTTAAAATTAGTAGTTTTTGAGTTCGTAACAATAAAAAACTAAAACTACTTAAAACTTCAAAAACCTGACTAATTATGACACTCAAAAATTAAGAAAACATATATATGACACCTCATATGTCAAAATATTCTTTGTTGTTGAGACTAGAAGCAATTAAAATCGAACTTCCATACATACAAACCCACACACATAAAAAACTTTCATACATTCGAAAACAATACCCGAATGATGAAATTTGATACAACTTTAAATTTAAAATTAAATTTATTTTGAACTACATTCACCTTGATAACAGTTCTCTGCAATTTCTCCAGCATTTTTAAGTCTAACTCTATCTCTCTCACAACTGCGGCTACTTTCCTTTTCAATTTGTACTTATGCAGGCCCATGTTCACAATATTCGTGTCTCTTTCTGCCACAAGCCTTGCATGTTCTCTCTCTCTTTCTTCAGATATAAATCGCACCTCATCTAATATCATCTTCTCTTTCTCTTCTTGCTTCCTCAATTTCTTTACGACTGTCTCTTTCTCGCTTAGCTCTGCTATTTGACCTTCTAAACTCTCACGGAGCTCCTATAAAAAAATTATTTCGTAAAACACATAGTTAAACAAATGTATCAACAGATAACCTTTTCATAAATATTAATAAAAGTTTTCATAAATGTTAATAAAAACATCTACATAAATATATATATTCTTTTGATAAATACAAATAAAAGTTCACCTTCATTTGTAGCTCTTTTTCTTTTAATCTCTCTTCTTCTATTTGAATCTGTCTGCGCAGAGCTTCATCCCTTTCCTGTAGACATTTTCTGGTATCCTCTTCTTCTTTCTTCTTTTGTAATTCTTTCTCTACTATTTGTTCCATCCTGAAATAAAATAAAATAAAAAAATACAAATTGGCTTCCAATATAAAACGCTAACGATAAATGGACACGCAAATTCTATTCAAAAAAAATAAATACTGGTTAAGAAATTGTCATCCAAATAATATATTTTACAAAATGTATTTTTTTAATCCTTTCTGAAATCTATGTCTCATAAAAAAGACGGAAATAAAAAGATATGGAGAAAAAAATACATTAGTAATATTAAAAAATTAAAAATAAATATTAAAAATAGGCTTTCATCGCCCCACAGTTCAAAGATAATGTAACAACAAGTAATTAAATATAACAACACCTATTATTATATAGAGCTTGCTGCAATTTAAACAGTACATTCAGCAAATTTAAAAGTACCAGTTGTATAAAAGTTTTCAAATATCTTGGCGGCTCATAAGTCATTGCGCAGAACACAATTTTAGGTGTGTTGGGGTGAGCCTTGAGCCGCCAAGGTATTTGAAATAAGTAATACATACCAAGCAGATTTAAGTTTCCCATTAGCAACATAAGTGTTAGCAGCTCTAAGCTCAGGTTGACGGAGTCTCCATGCATGATGCAGGCGCAGTTCCGCCTCATGTCTTCGCAGCTGTTCCTCTTTTTCCATGATTCCCTGGTTGATTTCTTGCAAGGTTGACGTTGGAACTTTGTTGAGATATGAACTGGTAGGAAAAATAACAAATATTAACAACATGCCAATAAAAAAACTTGAAAAATTTAAATAAATATTTTACCCATTCCGGTAATATTTTGGTTGAGCGGCCAACATTTTCAACTCCTGTTGGTACTGCATATTTTCTTGGAACAGCATTAGTTCCAACTTTTTACGTCTTTCTTCTAGTTTACTGCAATGTAATATAACAAAAGTAATTAAAATAAATTTGCCAATACTACTGGGGTTTTTGCAGAAATAATTTTAGTAAAAAATCTGATTGAACACAAAGTGCAGAAAATTTAAATTAAATAAATTATTTACTTATGTAGCTCTCAACACTATACATATTAAATTAGATAAACTATTATAAAATCTTATATAATATTATATAATCAAACTGTTTGTCAGAAACGGAATTTTTACAATCACCATACAAATACCAATCATACAACTAGTTAAAAACCATAAAAGTTTAAATGTATATATCAAAATAAACCAACGCTGATCGCATTTTCTTCTGCCTTAGTATCTCAGCTTCTTTCTTGGCTCGTTCGTAATAATCCTCCGTGGTCCAGCTTTCATGGTGGCGTGACTTGTTGGTGTTTGTCTCAAAGTAATCTGCAACCTTACGCAGTTCTTCAGCCCTACGTAGTTCGTTATCACGTCTTTGTGCTGCTAAAGCCTGCAGCTGCCATTGTGGTCTTGGTCGAGACATGATCTGAAAATATAGTCAATGAAATACATAAAAGTGAAAGTAACTGTTTTAATTTTGTCCCAAAAAAACAACAACCTTAACATAAAGCTTTATTTGGTAAATTCAACTTGATAACCTTGACTAAAGGTATAAACAAAACAAACCTTATACAATTTTTGCTTGATAAACTTTTTGTAAAGCAAATAATTGGATTAATGTCTTTTATCGTTTGCCAGTATTTTTGATCAAAAATAAATGTTTAAAAATAAATCAGAGTCGATGTAATAATTTACATTGACTATATATTGAAAACAGATACATCTCTGAGGTATTTATATGGCAAGTAACCATTTTCATCATATGTTTTATGAAATTCAAATTTATATTTTGCTGATTAAATTAAATACTCTTTGTTAAAATTATTAATTATTTAGAAACATCAGTGCAGTTTCTAAAAGACGATTTGACAAAAATTCAACTCACATATTTTATGTTCCAATTTAATTTTGGTTTTTTTCTTGCTTAAAGTAATGTCAAATATACTTCGCAAATGTGCGTCAAATTAAAAAATTTTGTTTCAAAATAATAGTAACACTAGTTTATTAAATTGTTTGCTTTAAAAACAAGCGGTTTTTATATTACTAATGACTTTCTGGATCTATGTTTTAAATTTGTCATGACAATAAAAGTGTTCAGTGACTCATTAGTTAAATCAATATTTACCAACCTGTTCGCTTCACTGCACACGCGAAAAATACACGATTTGGACACCAGATTGAGAATAATTCGACCTCAGTCTTCAATGACTGGGCCGTTTATTTCACTTCGCGTGGGCGCTAACCGTCGAGCAACTGGGCCGTATGAGGTCAATCGGATAATTAAACTACGTAATATTTCACTTCCTATCGTGTTTCATATGAGATCGTTTTCTGTCACGAGATTATGATACAATCATATAACACATCGTTAACGAAATTGCACCTCAAAACAAAATATTCGTTAAGTCAAATGTGACATTTAATCAACACGAGGTGACAGTTGCTAAGCAACCATGATGTTTAGAAACAAATTATGTTCGTTCTTGAACTTGAAATACATTTGGCGGTCATTCGATTTACAGCAAGTTTTTTACTTACCTTTTTAATATTTTATAGTACCCACACAAGTTTGTAGAGTATCAGACGGTCAATGATTGCATTTTTTAGTTTCAAAATATATTTGGTAAATATCTTTGCTTGTGCTAGTAGAAGTTCATTTAAGATTTTTAATAGTAGTTACAGTATAATCTGATATTTAATTATATGTTATGTATCAGCAAATCGTTTTGCTCTTTTTCTATTTATAAAAGTTAAATCGGAAATTGTGATATTCACTACACCATTTTGTGATTTGGGATATTTTACACATAAAGGTACAAAGATGCCGGAGGTTGTTCTTTTTTTATAAATTCAGGTAAGTCTTTTTCAATTTTAAAATTAAGATTAATAACTAAGTTTAGATACCTCTTTGTATTTATTTCACATCATCATTGCGATGCCTGATGTTACAGTTATGGTTTATACGTCCTAAAAAATTGCTACTTAAAACTATCAGGGGGTACAGATAAAGCCGAGGCCTTAAAGTTAATACCGACAGGTACGGTTAAGGGACAATAATCTTCGTTCACTAATTATGCTTTTTTGCTGACGACGATTTTACTTACGACAATTCTCCAGTGTCGTATTAGAACGAACTTTGATATTTGTAAAATTTACTTTATAATTCATAGCCGATCACCGATACTTGTGTGGCTTAGAATGCTAACTACGGTACAATGAATTATGATTGTGGTTTAAAATCAGCCATTAGATCAGAGTATCCCAACAACATAACACTTTGTTTTATTGTTTAAAATTGTAGTACAACAAAGTTTTTAAAGTTCGCTTTCAATATTTCTCTTCCCTCTCCTGTAGTTTGATACAGTGCAAATTGTCAATTGAATAGATTATCCAACGGACTATACAGCGTTATAGTGAAATGCAAACCATAAACCATAATCTAATTGAAGAAGTGTTTTTACGTTAAATTTGTTGCAAGACATAAAAATCCTACAATAGCAAGATTTCTTCTTAAGAAAATAATGTTTACATTCACCTATCTTTGTAATTATATAATTATATATTTGTTAAGATGCTAGTTCGTGTATTTAAGTCCACTGAACATCTGTTTACAACGTTCATAAATCATATTTCAGTAGTTATTATTTAACACTTAAGCGAGGCACGCATATCTAATAAGCTTGAAAGCTCTTGTTTTCATTGAAGCGTCTGTAAGCTTACGGCCTTCAAGGTGATAGCGGGTCACATTCCGGCCTGCAGAGGGAGATAAATATATCTTCTATCTCTTTCAAACAATCATGGAGGACTTAAAATTGTTGCCATATTGCCTACTTAAATATATTGTTGGTAGTTTTAAATGTTATATATTTTAAAATAGTAAAAGGGAATTAAGTTTTAAATGTGTTTAAGTACCGGCACCGTGGTGTTACTTATTGTAGTAATTGATGTAGTTATTATATTAAATAATAAACTACTTACTAATAAAAGATTTGTCGAATACATAACTTTTTAGGGTTCCGTTCCTCATAGGAAAAAAACGGAACCCTTACAGGATCACTTTGTTGTCCGTCCGTCAGTCTGTCAAGACCCTTTTTTTTAAGGTAATCCAACAAGCCATATGTTATCCAATCTGTATATGTTAATAAACTTGAAATTTCGTACACAGGATATATTTGCGTTGCCGATAACAAAAATCTTATTTTTTTTTGTCATTTGAGGTTGATAATCTTCGAAACAGCAAGATTTTGATGGGACTTAAACGGGAAGAATGCTCGCAGGAATATTGTGTGCTACATTTTTTTTTCAAAAACTGCGCTGATGAAATTGCTGGCGACGGCTATGTTATATAAATACCTAACTGATAATATTAAGCAACAATGTTACGATAACAAGTAATTTGTGAAACTTAACACAAACAAACGTAAGAAGAAATAAAACTAAGTAGTAGAAATTGGTAACTTTTAAAAATGTTTTAAGTAATTTATAGTTAACATTAACTGGCAGCACAGGCAGCCGGCAGTCAGTCGGGTTAAGGCTGCGCTTGCGCATGCAGACCACAACTTAAACCTTAAAATTACCTTATTGCTTATCTATTTCAACGAATTTTACACTTTAATCTTATGAAATATGTTTAATAGTGTTATTAATAAGTGAATATAAGTGATTTATTTGCGATAATCCGTTAAAATACATAATTATTCGTACATCTAGTGTCTATATAATGCGGTAACGAAAGATATTTTTTGTTTGTACGTCGGAGTGTAATAAGCGTGTTCGAAACCAAGAAATGGGTTTATAATTGGCCTAAATCAAAGGCCGTGATGGTAAGTTATACTATGGCGGTGATACGCCTAGACGCAATGTGTGCGTGTGGTAAAGGATTTTGTGTGCATGTGTTTGTGAGAGCTACATATTTTATGATTGTAAAAATTCCTTTAAATTAATGAACAGGTGATTAGGTACATTCATAGTTTGTAACTAAGATAATGTGGGCTTTATAATTTATTTAGTCGTACTGATAGTAACTTCATTCCATATAGAGGCATTGGACTAGAAAGTTGTTTGAAGCTTTATAAACGAGTTATCGTCGATTTATCATCGCACATCTGTGTAACATATTATTTAACGATGGAAAACATCTTATGTTGTTAACCTAAAATTGATAAACATTTTCGTAAGCAAATTATTCCTCAACATATTATAATTTTAAAATATGTTATTAAAACATATAACTTTTATACTATTATTAAATTATATTTTTTCCAAATCCATCTCTCCAAATAATTCAACGTATAATTTTCAAGCTATTATAAACATAAGAGATGTAGAACATAATTTATTATACTATTGTTTTCTAAGTATAACTTATTGCCATACTCATAACTTTTACTCGATGACAAGACACGCAAAGAAAAGACATCAACGCGTTCGATTTACCATTTCAAGACATTTCTTGCATACTTTCATGTTAAAAATATTGAACATTTTTTTAAAAGTAAATTTACATTTTCTTTGAAAAACAATAATAAATAAAATGTGCTAAATATTATTTATTCTCTTTTAATAGTTGTTGAAAGAGAAAGTTAATTATTACTATATTACTTTGTGAATTACTTCAATTTAACTGAAATATATAACTGGACAAAATCATGTAATAATTTTCTTCTTAAAGAACATTAAAGTCTGACTATGTGTGGGAATAAGATTCTTAATGAATATTTTTTGTGTAGGTATATTAGCATTTAAATCAGTAAATTAAACAGTAAAGTGTACGCTAAATAAGCTATCTACAAAATAAGACACAAATGATTAGGCCCTTTTTCTGTATCTACGACATAACATTTCTTGAACTATTCAAATTAATTTTAAAACAAAGCCAAGGTCAGTCCTATTCCGTAGTCAGTACGTGACAACGCGCGATAACATCAGTAGGTCTACAAAGTCGCTTTGTTAACTTGAAACTTTATAATAAGTTGGGAATCATTTTTACATCCTTAAATCTCAAGATAAAAGTTAACAAGCTACTTGAAGAATTTTAATTTTGTAATAGATTACAATAATATTACCAAGTTGTTGTGTGTACTAAGTATTTAAAAAAAACTGTAAAACGTTCTCTCAAAATTATAACTTTCCTCAGTTGTAAATGAACATTAAAAAATTATAATTAATAAATCCTTTTCCGTCAATTGCAATGAAAATAAAAATAAAAATTCTTAAATCTCAAAATAATTGTTACTAAAGAATAACATAACTAGGAATTCATATAACTGCGTGTAGATTCATTATTTCTCTGATCCATAGCAATAGCGACAGCATAACAAAACTATAATAAACAAAAAAGCAAAACTCATTTTACATTTCAACTCCTTTAACATTCTGGTTAGTAAACTGACAAGAATTAAATAGCTGTTTCATATCATTTGCTCATTATTATGGTAAGTATTCTCATCTGCTTGTAACAAGTAGCTGCGGAATTTATATCAGTTTGCGACCGCGGGCGGAGTTGGTCAGGACGCTCGGGGCTCCGACGCGCCGCACGCGACAGATAACTTCGTAAGTCGTGTTTTAACAGATTGCTAGTTTTCTCTCCTATTAGGTTTGGTTTACGGTGACATTTTATTTCTTTTATCGTGTCATTTATATTGACTATTAACTGACATTTATGTTGGACTAGGTGCATTCTGGAACTGACCGAATCGCAACGTCTTTCTGTATTTCTCTTCTTTATCAAAAAATCGTCGACAGGAAATTGAATGTACGGTCTTCCGTAATCGTAGTTATCGATAACGAGTATTGAAAAGGCTTTTATAAGGAGTTTTCTCCGTCACCTATATTGATTCGAACTATTTAAATACTACATTTACTCCATAAGCTATATGTCGATATAATTTAAGCTGGTTGGTTAAAACAAAATATACCGTTTACTAGTCTTCTATGTTGTATAAGTCCCGTTAGGTCTTGTCTTGGATTATAATAAGTTTTTACCCCCAAAAGGATCTTTCACCTGCTTTAAGCAGGTAACGCTTGTAAAAACAACAAAGATATAAAACGTACACTTTAGTCGTTATTTAAAAAGTGAAAATAAAATAATATTACATAAGAAAGTCTCAAATAACAATGGCCATACAAACTACAGTGGTCTGATTAGGTCGGTCACGTCAGTTCACGTGCGGGTAATGATAGAGCGACGGTGTTTAGAGGTTCGATTCCGCGCCACCTGGCGACGGTTACCGGCTACTGTATAACAGGCATAGCTTCAGGCGAGAACGTGCTTCAATTTTTGTATAAATCGAAACACTTTCGAGTTTGATATGACAAGATATGCTTTTTTTAACAGTATTTAATGTTTCTGCAAAAATCGTAAGTTTTCACTACAAAGTAGTTCAATTAGTACTTAAACTAGAATATAGAAACTAGATCTATTCTAAAAGGTTCATTAGGTAACCAAAAACGTCGGTGAGTACTGCATTTGGGGAAAATGTAAGATGGTAAAGTCATTTGACATTTGAAATCTGTGAACAGGGAAGGCACACATGCACAGTCGTAAACCTGCAGGCAACTTCCGTGAATATTCTCCAACGCATAAATAGATACGACAATAATCATAATTCATGCGTGTAATAATTGAAATTCGCAACAAAAAGCCACGGGTATTCAACAGTTACACTAACTGTACAAGACATTATTAATATGAAACTTGTAATTAAAAAGGAGCGACTAAATCTTAATCAACTACTGTGGTCCAGTGCAGATTGGTTGACTTCACATATCTTTGTATTTCTATGTATTAATACATTTTAATTTCGCTTAAAACATGGAATAGATTAACGTAGAAGTTTTAATATTAAAATAAATTACAACTTTAACTTAAAAAAAAACAACAACATTCGTTCACACAGAAGACAGGAGTAAAGTGGAAGTAATTCTACGTTTGGTCTGATTGAGTGTACGTACCGAAGCCTAAATCTTAGTCCTCTTTGGAAGATTTGACGTACGTACGAAAGTACAGGACGCATAGGAAGGGGAAATATTCTCTATAAGTGTGTCCCCGCCCGTCTACCTGCTTCGTCGATTAAAAGCAGGCAATACTCACTTGATACTTTAATTTAAAAAAAATGAAAAGAATTTGTTACACTATTGTGACACTAAATGACTGGCAGTCAAATTCCACTGCATCATTAGAGTGTCATTAAACAATGCTGTGTCGCCGGGTTTATTACAGATAACTGTCCCCAGGCTTACAGTTACACTGCGTTCGTGTTAAGCGGGAAACCTTCGTGCTTGTTCGTAATAACTAGAAGATTGAGTGATCTCTCATTACTTACACGGTACAAATTTAACAGGGCACTCACGAGCTTCCTTACAGCCCACATAAGGCAGACTACGTTCAAATAAATCTTATATATACAACTATCGTATTACAATCTTAGTAACGATACTCCTCCGAAACGGCTTTACCAATTTTTACGAAGTCTAAGAGTCGGCTATGTTTTAGTCCCACGCGTACGGTGTCGCGGGCAACAACTAGTTAATATTTTAAAGTATTACTTCCTATTAGAACCATTATAATACGAAAATTCAATTTCTTTGTACTGTATAATACATTCATCAGCTTAACTCTTTAATGTGTTTTCTGCTCGGTTAAAACAGAAGTTCTGTTTGTGACGTCACTGTCTATACAAGTCCCAGATGTGTTGAAAAGTGCAATAGCTAATTAAAGTTGTTAAATATTCACAAATCAATAGTAAACTGTTTTTGTATGAATGCAACAGATGATAAATATATTTTTATTACTTGAAAATCGATTTAATAGACATTTAGTACTTTTCATTTTTAAGACAAAGTTGTTAAGTGCGTTATAACCTTAAATTACTTCAATGTTCATTTGATACTGATATTATATAATAAACTTTATAGCTATTGCATAAAACTATCCAATATGAATGGCGATACTTCAATAAATAATATTATTGAAATATTGCTGTTTATGTATTTAAGCGCAACTCTGAACATAACTTTCCTTTAAATAGACTGATGATATTTGCATAACTATGCGCAAACGCAGAATTTGATCTTTAGGGCCGTCAACACACGGATAGACCGGACTCTAAAATTGGTATACACCAAAATAAATTTTATATAACCTGGCAAAATAGGATAAAATATACTATTAAAATGCGATTGGAATATTTTAAATGTAAAAATCTCAATAATTGGCTCATAAATTCCTTATCTAAATTTGCAATTTTTAATTTATGTTTTGAATAACTTTTATTTGACCATTATAAACTAATTATAATATTCAAGTCTGTTTCAATAATGTAAAATTTTTTGTTCTTATTTTTAATAACTCAGTTTGCTATTCTATATTTGATGTGATCAAATCGTATGACCGTTTGATTCTAGTTATTGCTCAGTAAAATATAGGAAAGCAATTTATGTTGCTATTAAAAACAATGGCAACCGTCTCTACATCTGAATACTTTACGCACTCACCATTGTCAATCTTACATTGGATACATAGTGCATAATGCAATCCATTATCAGTTTCTGCACCAGCCCTAATAAAGGTACTTATGATGGCTCTGAGAACACGCAATCGGCTTCTATTCGAGGAACCGTTGCGTTGTGAGTCAGGTGGAAAATGAGTTGTGTTATCTGGCCAGTCTGCGTTAGTCTGCGCCGGTTTCACCGCGTCTCTTGTAAGTTGAATGATCGAAATGTTTTGTATACAGAGAATGTGAAATACAGCTATTTGTATTAACAAATAAAGAAGCAATTTCAACGAATAGAAATCAAAGTTTTGCACTGCCAAAACACATATAAAAAAACGTGGATAACATGTGTATCGGCTGTGGAAACTTACGTTAATAACAGAAATATTTCTTTTGTAGTTATTTGTACTATTACTATTATAGTAAGACACTATCGTATCGAAGTGTATCTGTGGCATGAGTGTCTCTTGTTTTCTCTACTACAATCGTAATCAGTGTCGCAATTTATGACGTAGATTAATTGAATCTTTAGTTTGTTGTGATGTATTTGCTATATTACTTTAAACAGTCATAGTATGATTAAAAAGATAGGTTTCGTTTAAAAGTACATACTTTCATAATTAGTTTAAGACAATGTAACTTAATTTTTAGGACTGGCTGTCTGTCTGTCGCCAACTACTTGCGAGGAATAAATAAATTAAAAAAATTAATATGTGAGTAACTGAATAGTTACAGATAAATACTACAAAATAACTTCTAAAATGCTCAAAGAATAAATATGAGTAATTAAACATTATAAATTAGAACAAAATATTAAGGTCACATCGATTGGTAGCGATTCAATCATGCTTCCTATGATATGAAACACATATTACTTATATTATCAAATCTCTTACTAAATTAAATAAAACGCTTAAACAACTTTCTTTTTTTTTCATTTTAGGTATATCACAGTGATGATGTGGTTACTGCACAGATAATTAATTTACCAGTGAAAAGATAAAAAAAAACAAAGATGCGCAAATTGATATGCTGATCCCTCGTCACAAGTGACGCGACAGACGGACGGACAGTTTAAATGTACATCAAATTAATGTATTATTAATTTTTGTTTAAATATTAATTTTAAAAATACCAATAGAACACTGAAGATATTTCCGTACAAATTACATCAAATATGCAAATGAAATAGGCCCAAAAATCCACAGTTTATAACCTGTCTATATACAGGGGTCAGGAATTTTAGCATAATTTTTTTGTCTGTAAATAGCAACAGTTAAATATCTTACATACGATGTGCACCTACGGTAAGCTTTTGAAAAGCCTTAAAGGCCTTCAAACTTATTATTCTACTCAGACCAACGATTCTTGATATTAATTGTTCAAATTTGAACCTTCCCGTTTCTATAAAAGGATTTAAAATGTATTATTATATTTCGGCAACCTGATCCTCATGATTTTCCACAAAATTGCACATTAAGGATATTAAGTGTACTAATTATGAATTTAATCTTGCCGCAGTAAAAAAGGGGTTTTGTACCAATTTTGATGTTTTTAGTTCATTAACAGCTTTTATAATTAAGTAAAAATTGCATTCGATATGTACGTTTGTGCCGCCGACGTAATTTTCTTTCATTTCCAATTATCAAAATGGTTCACAAACTTTTGCGTTTCTGTGTAATTTGCATACAAGAATAACTATTTAGGGTAAACTTGATATTTTTTGAATAGTTTCCAGTTCTTTAATTTCAGTTTAATAATAAATTACTAATTACTAGTTTTAATGAAATTCAATAAAAAAATTATCACGCATGATATTATGACATTTAGATTAATTTGCTAATGTGTTTGGGCACCTCTGAACGAGCATAACGTTGCCCACCGGGACAGGCTGAAAACCAGCTCCGCATGGTAATGCCATGCGGTACAAGCTGAGCCTGCAGCCCATTGTCGTCATATATATATTTTTGTAATTACTGTGTGACATGATGTAATTATGTGATGACAATAAAGAAGTTTTATTTATTTATTTATTAGTAATAAGAGTAAGGAATCATCTAAGAGAACTTGGGAAGAAGTTTATAAGTTGCTCACTGTAAACAAAACCCAACCTAAAGCCCTTCAAGCACACAAGTAGATCCTACTGTCAATGTCAAAAAACTACGACACACACAAACACAGCGTTATTAATTGGTCATCAGGTAACACAAGCAAACGTCAGTATACGCACACATTCGCACACATAAGTAATTACTCAGTCTCATAGTCGACATTTTAATCTTATCTGTGGCGAGCGGTCGTTATGAACTTAAGAATTTCCTGCGCTCAATTGGCTCAGTGCAGTAGCGGAGCTTTTTATCTAGCGATCGTACAAGAGGATAGATAACTGTTATGACTGGTAGAACGTTTTCTATTATTTTTATATCATACTATGATAGTCACTTTGTTTCTTGTCTTTAACGTTCTAAACGTCTGGTCTACACTCTTAGTAGATTTCGCGTCCGAACAGTTTTAAAAGGCAAAATATTAAAGTACTATTAATCAAATAACCGATTATAAATTAATATTAAGAAATATTCGATGAAGAGACTTATTGGAAATATTATTACCCATCTTACTAATATTATAAATGCGAAAGTTTATATGGATGTTTGTTACAATTTATCTCCCGCATGGGTCAACGGATCTTTATGAAATTTGGCACAGATGTAGAACATAACCTGGAAGAACACAGAGGATATTAGTTATTTTTTTTGGTTGACTTTATTGCTGAAAGTAGATCTTAATCTAATTATATGCAAAAAATCATGGCTTTATTTTTGTAACAATGACTTAACCTTTTAATTGACTAATTTCAGGTACGGTTTAAAGATGTCGCAGCGAGACTTTTCTGAGGTGAGTTGCATCCAGATTTACTTGATCAATGTTAAAAGATTTTAATCAAGCGACGAAACACAACGATAAATGACACAAGCCATAAATAATGCGAGGGAAATTAATAAAATAATTTAAAACAACACTTTTCTAGTTTATAAATTCACCTACTAAAGGTACTATTAGACTACGACTGCAGTATACTATGAACGGTACAGTCAGCTGCATAAATATGTATACATTTACAAAGCTTTAGAAAAACGTATAAGATTTCGGTTCCACAATATGTATCCACATAACCTTATACTTCCTATTCGTGTCACTAACGTTTGTAGGATACATATTGATGCAGCTGACAGTACTCAGTGTATTAATATATTGTAAAATTTGTTGCAACACAATAATTAGTCCAGAGTCTTCTGTGTAAAAGTCCGTATATGTGTAAACAGTACAGATACATTGTTCACCTTACTTATTTGAACATGCTCGAATCCGAGAACTGAATGTATTCTGCTAGTCTTAATACCGTTGTATTTTTAACAGTAAATAGTATGAAATATTGCAAAAGTAGAAATAAATTCAAACACCAGTTATATTGATTACCTACCGTTACAGAAATTGATTGAAAATAGTTTCGACAATTGATTTTATACATGATTAATTTGCATGAAATAATCATAAAAATATACATATGTGAAGAATTTGACAATGAACAGACTATAAGTTAAAAAAAAATTACTGTTAACTTGTTAGCTATGTTTCATCGAGTTCTTACCATTTACAACACTTTCAGGCCGTTATACTTTGTGATTTGACATAGTTTCTTCCGACCTTATACTTGTTTCACACGAAGTTTACCATATAATAGGCAACTAGTCTTCTAAACCGTTTATTATTTTAAAACTATTCCTATCCTTGTATATCTTAAAAATAAAAGACTTAAGAACCTGTTTATTTGGTAAGGATGTCAGGAATAAATATTACTAAACGTACCCGCTTCCGACTTGGATGAATTACTTTTATGATAGACGCTATTATCGTTTCCTGTTCTCAGTATACAAAATACCATTTATTTAATGTTCTCGTATCTATGATTTAATTTTACTTCTTACTAATATTCTAAATGCGAATGTTTCGGTTTAAAGATCTTTATTTACTCATAAAAAACACAAAGTTTCACTTACAATGATTATAAATGTAAAATATAATATAAGGGCTTGCGGGCTAATACAAAATATAGTAACCATATATAAAATTAGTATAAATCAAAAACAGACCTTAGTACGTACAACTATAAGAAGTTAAATTGAACAGAAATGATATATGAATTGAACAGGAATGACATTACAGCGATGAGATTAGATGGATGAATGTTTGTTTGAAGGTATCTCCGGAACCGGTGCATCGATCTCATTGAAATTTGTTATAGATATATAGTCTGGAAGAATACATAGGCTACTTATTAAGTACTATTAGGAAGAAAATCCGAAAATGAGCCAGTGTATTGATTCAACACTAGCCTTACTAAAATGTCGACGTTTGTGTCCCCTCGACATTTTATTCTGACACTAGACTTTGTAACGAAAGCACGTCATTCTCGCCAAAGGATTGTAATTCATAATGTCAAAAAGTATGGAGTCGTGGGCGACAGCTAGTTTAGTTATATTTAAGTATAGACAATAGTTTATGTGTCATCAACGTTTAGTCATTAATTTTATATGCACAATTCGTACATCGTACGTGTAAACATTTTCTTTGTACAACTAGCGACATCATCTTGTGTGGTCCAAGTTTTAAACTAAGAAGAATTAATAAGATTATCGTTTTTTATCGCAAAATTGTAGTTTGATAATCTTGGATATAAAAAATGACTTTATTGATCCTTGAACAAGTTTTTATAGAGAATATTAGCAGTGAGATAATGACGTAAACAGCGTAGCCATTACTAGATAATGATAGAACATCCTTAAAAGACTTTGAACCTATTTGAGCCTCTATATTCAATTATAAAATAATATAATCTTACTCCTTACTAATATTATAAATACGAATGTTTTGGTGGATGATTTTTTGTTAGAAGCTTAGAGATTAGGCTCTCGATTTTTTTTTTAATTTTTTTGCGTGACGGACAAAAGCTAGTCTAAATATAATCTACTAGCAGTTGCCCGCGATTTTGTCTGCGCCGTATTTAAAAAAACATCCAATATTTCTTCTCCACATTAACTATGTCAATTTTCTCGATCATTGGATCTCGCATTTTCCCTTAAAAAGTATACGAAGTTTAAGCTTAAGTATAACGACATTAATATCCTTAAGGTCCTTAAGGTGGTTATAAATCTTACTAATATTATGAATGCGTATGTTTAGATGGATGGATAGATGTTTGTTAGAAGGTACATATATCCGGAACTGCTGCATGGATCTCCCTGAAATTTGGCATAGATGTAGAACAAAGTGTGGAAAAAAACATATGCTACTAATCAAGGTATATTTCTAATTCCACGCAGACGGAGTCGCGAGCAACAGCTAGTGTGTGTTAAAAAAATCTAATATCTTTGACATTGAGTTTAATCTGTTCTTAACGTATTCAATCTTAAAATCAAGTTACAATTTTCATATCAGCCAACATGAACAAGATGATTAAACTGATTCTAATTACCATACAGCGACATCTGAATGTGGGAACGGAAACTAACGATAGTCTGATAACTTTTTGGCTTTTAGGATGAAAGACGATAAGATAAGCTAAAAAACCATGTTATTTTGTAAAGTTACCCAGTGTGAAGATTAAACTACTTAAAATATGTATACCTAAGCAAGTTGCATTGTCGTAATACTTGTATTGAAACATATGTCTCTCTTTTTTCCAAACGGAATGAAAGGAACGACAATATGTTTTACGAGTATATACTTGTTTGAAGTGTTTTAACACACATCTGAATATTTACATACTAGCTTTCTATATAATTAACAACATATTTTGGTTGCGAAATAATAAAGAAATATCAATTCAATATCATCATCATCATCATCATCATCATCATTAGTTCACTATACGTCCCCACCGAGGGGCTCAGAGCCTTCCCTAAATCAAGGGTGACTAAGCCATAGTCAACCACGCTGGCCAAGTGCGGGTTGGATGACTTCACACATATTAAACTTTAATCAACAAAAATAGGCCAAATTTCATTATTGAAAAAAAAAAGAAAAAAGCTCAGATAATTTTATGGCTAAGAGTTAAACTTAAGGGGCTATTGCAAAGTCATATACTGACTTGCAGTCTTCTTATGATGCCAAATGGCAAGGAAATTATCCAAAATGGCTACTCATGTAATTGTTACTTAGACGAGTCATTGTAAATTACTATTATTGCTTCTTATGAGTTAAGATCGACAATCTAATCTAATAGTCTTTTACTTTGTCGATTCTAGGTTTATTTTCTTTGTAGAAAAATTGCGTTCGAGTGTGTGTCAGATGTAGAAAAAGATTACGAATAATTGTCTTCCTTTCTCTCGTTTCTTCTCTATGTCTCTCTCTCTCTTACGCAAGCTTTTCCTACATATATTCTATATTTATTCGTTAGTTATTTAAATCCTCTTATTGATAACTGTCCACCCCGAAATGTCACACGTCCGTGATATATCACATACATATATATACAGAAATAAAGAAATATATATGTAAGCTAACAATATCTTTATTTATCTATGCATTATCTAGTACCAGAATAAGATATTTAATATTTTTTCTGAAAAAAAATTAGTACTATTAGGTGCGCAACTAAGTTCTCGCTTTTTTTCGATAAAAGTATAACTTTATTATTAAAAAATGGTTACAAATGAATCATTCAAAGTATTGCCCATCGCTAGACACAACTTTTTCCCATCTTTCTGGTAGAGCTCGAATACCTTGACGCCAGAAGTGTTCGTCTTTTGAGGCTATCCACGAATCAAGCCATTTTTTGATGTCTTCATATGAGTGGAACTGTTGATCAGCCAGGCCATCGAACGGAACAAGTATTATATATTTTCCTAAATAGTTATTATCCTTGTCTAACCCCGATAGGAAGATCTAAGAAAAGACTACACTTTGACTGTTTGTATTATTGAACTGATTCCCAGAATAGCGTCCATTGTGTTCCCGACTTTAATTATCGAAACCCTTATAAAAGAATCAATTGCACCGCACAAATCTATAATGTTTTTTTTTAATTGGCATCGTAAGGCAATATGTTTGCCTTCGCCTTTGTATAAGAACGAAAACGGCGTGCGCACGCGCAAGCCGCATCGAATGCAGTGACGGCATGACTCGACGAATGTATAGCTTATACGAAATTCATGTAATTCGAAATACAAACGGTGTTAAAAGATTGAATGTATTCAACTGTTGGATTATAAGCGAGAAATAAGATACTGGAGAGATATCTTATATATAAAATTCTCATGTCACAATGTTTAGTATGGTAACACTCCTCCGAAACGGCTTGAGCGATTTTTGTGAAATGCTGGTTTCTGAGACCAAAACCTCTGCATAAAATATGTAGTACTCTGTCAATCTTTGACAAATCATTTAAACAGATACAAATTTAAAACCCATGGTTATCGAATAAGTTTTTAAAAATGAAGTTTTTAAGATTGTAAAAATAGAGTACCTACTAAATTTTCTGTGTAACTTTGAGAAAAAGTAATCTAAAATCACCTAACTATTCCTTATTCATCTTGAAAAAGTTTTCTTTATAACAGTTCTAGTACAAGTAACTTTATATCTACAATAATATGATATAGTGGAAAGATTTGTTTGTTTGCATAGAATAGGATTCGATAGTACTTAACCGATTTGAATAAATGAAAATTCTTTTATTATTGGGAAGCCACACTATACTCGCGTAACTTATATTTATAAATAGATTTTTTTTTATAATCCGTGAGGACAAAGTCGCCAGTATTTAATCATTTTATTGCATAACTATTTTATGTTTTCTTTTAACTTCTATTATCTTTCTTATTATGTTGTTACTTTGC